GAAGTAAACTTTTGTTGACTATTTTAACATGAAGTCATTTGATGATAAACTGACCCAAAAACACTAGCTGAAAAAAATATGAATAACAAAAATACATATACACAAAGGTTGATGTCATTTTACAGCATTTTATTGAGGGACTCAATGTTCAGCCCATATAGATTCAGTGAAAAGGTTTAAATTCTTTAGACTTGGCCTTTGAAAGCAGAACTTCATCTTTGCAGCTATAAATCTATAAATCTATAAAGCTATAAATCTAATAATAACAATGTCATTGAAACTTTCCTACAAATTACTTGTTTTGCATTTAGCAACAAGTAGAACAAACAAGTTGTTTAATATTTTGTCAGAATTTAAGTATAAACTAATATCTGGGACTTTCTAGATGAAGAGATAGTCATAGACTTCAGAAGGAAACCCCCCCCCCCCCCCACACACACACACACACAAACACAGGAGGATCTGTGGTGGAAGTGGTCTCCAGCTACAAGTACTTGGGTGTGCACCTGAACAACAACCTCAGCTGGAGCAACAACACCACCAGCCTGATGAAGAAAGCTCATCAGAGACTCTACTTCCTCAGACGGCTGAGGCGAGCTGGTCTGGAAGCTCAGTCCTCACCTCCTTCTACAGGTGTGCAGTGGAGAGCATCCTGTGCTCCAGCATCAACGTGTGGCATGGAGGCTGCACAGCTGCAGAAAGAAAAGCTTTGCAGAGAGTGGTGAAGGCTGCACAGAAGATGTTGGAGTCAGTCTCCCCACCATCACAGACATCTACACCTCCAGATGCAGGAAGAGGGCCACCTGCATCATGAAGGACCACACTCACCCAGCACACACACTTTTTGCCCCGCTCCCCTCAGGAAGGAGGTTGAGGAGCATTAAGTGTAGAACCACTAGACTGAGGAACAGCTTCTACCCTGAGGCTGTTAGACTCATGAATCTCCAACCAGGAGAATCACTGTGAAAAAAATTACTGTATCCACTTGATTGTTAATATGCTGCTGATTATCCATGCTGCTGATCTCATGCTGCTGATTATTTCATGTTGCTGAGTTCATTTGCACTCATCTGCTCAAACAGACTCATGTTCGGGCTGCTGTTTAATACGCTGTATTATTTTACATTATTAGAGTTTAGCGTATAGCTTAGATCCTTATTTACTGCTTTTTTACACTTTATGTTTTTGCTATTGTTGGATGTAACTGGGACCCTGAGTACATCATTTCCTTCCTCCTCATGTACCACGTGACAGTGAACCTATTCGAACTTGAACTTCATCTTCAAGGAACATTTTCAGCAATTTAACTTCAGAGAAAATAAATGTCACCACGGCCAAATTTAGTTGTTCAAATGCAGAAGATGTCCTCCTTCACTCCTCTCGAACCAGCGTTAGTCTGAGAGGAGTGAAGGAGGACATCTTTGTGACGAGAACCCGTCCATCATTAAACAGGGGCGGAGCCTCCGTGTCCAACTGTCCCCCTATTACAATGCTGTTATTGCTAGTATCACTCAGCCCCTGTGAATAGCAAGTGGCCATCAGGTGCTAACGTTCAATTGTTAGGCTGATGGTCCTCCTTTTGCACGTGAACAGCTAGTTCTGGCTGTCAGCAGCAAGCTGCTGATGAGAAGGTGCTGCTTATAAGACTGAGTTTGTTGCAGCTCCTCAGAATGAAGAAGTCAAAATGACACAAGAGACATTTGTGAGTGCTGAGAAAGGTGTCACTGTTTCTGAGGAGGAAGGGATGGTTTGAGACGCAGAGACAGAACGGTCTCATTGGGCTGCTGAAAAGCAAAACTGATCCCATGATGACATAAATCTGGATTATTGCAGCACTCTGTTAAATCCCCTTACATCACAGTTCTCTGTATCTGCTCTTTTAGCCTGAATTAAAGTAACAGCAGAGATTACCTCTATTAAAACGCTAAACAGGCTGGTACAGTTGTGGATAAAAAGGCACTTATTCACCCGAAAGTTAATCTACTGAGGCTTCAACAATTTAACAAAGAATAATATTAGGTCATTGGTTTTCTAACACGGAGTGGACACGTTCTTATCTACAACAGAAGTGAATGAAGAAGAGACTCATCGCATATTTTAAGGCACTTTGACTAAAGCTAGATAAACTGAAAAAGACACATGTTGATGATTTCCTAAAGGCAATCTGAAGAAAGGGTGCACTGACATTTTTTAAATTTGAATGTCCAAACTGCACGGTGGCTCAGTTTGTACAGCTGCTGCCTCTCAGTGAGCAAGTCGCCCCGGGTCAATCCCGTCCGGGACCTTTCTGGATGGAGTTTACATGTTCTCTCTGTGCTGCGTGGGTTTTCTCCTGGTACTCCAGTTTCCTCCCACAGACCAAAAACATGCATGTTAGACTGACTGGTAACTCTGAATTTTCCCTAGGTGAGAGAGAGAGAATGTTTGTTTGTCACGTTTGTCTCTGTGTCCCTGTGATGGACTGGAGACCTGTCCAGGTGTCCCTGTGATGGACTGGAGACCTGTCCAGGTGTCCTTGTGATGGACTGGAGACCTGTCCAGGTGTCCCTGTGATGGACTGGAG